ATCCCAGGCGTCTGGGATCCATTAGAAGCATATTTGACCCTGAATATTTATTGAGATCAGCATCCTATCTAAATGTATTATCTTTCCTGATTTTTTCTAAAGCACTTTATGAGCAAGAGAGCTTTTGTACTACACTAATATTTCCTGAGGAAGATCCAATTTTGAAACGTTGCTATATCATCCGGAGACGACGTTGATGATGTATTTTCACACTAGGATTTTCTTATGATTTGAAGGAATTTGCTTATTGTGTCGTGGTGCTTGTTGACCATAATATATAGAAAGCATTTTCTTTGCAAGTCTTGTTGACTGCTTGATCGGTGGACAGACTCTCATGACTGTCTTCTTTACATTTGTTCCCTGATTCAGTATAAGAATGCTCCAGGCGTTCCTGCTTCAGCATAATCCACATACACCAAACATGCACATGAAATCATACATGAACACACACACAAAGCTGCCCTACGCCGAGTCAGACCCTTGGTGTACCAAGGTCATGACTGTCTACTATGACGAGCAGTTGCTCTCCAGGGTTTCAAGCTGAGGTCTTTCACATCGCCAACTACCTGGCCCTTTTAGAGGATCTTCAAATGGCATTGGCCCACGTGCCGTGTTCCTTGGCCACAGAGGGCTGGCTCCGGTGGCCATTAAGGGGAGTTTAAGGAGACCTTAGCAGCCCCATCTCCCAAAAGCTTCTCTGGAGCGCGTGCAGAGCAGCAAAAGAGAAAGGACACTACAAGCCCCCTTGTGTCATGAGTGTGGAAGAGGATGAGCTGACAGAGCTTGCAGAAACTGCAGCTCGCCCCTCTGAAGCAGCAGAGGAGGATAGCTGGAAAGGGCCTTTAACAGCAGTCTTCACACCTGGCCCAGATAAGGGGGAAGAACTGCAAGCTGAAGGTCCTCCTGACTCACGCCCACGTGTGACTCGTTTAAGGGAGCGACTGCGGCAAAACTTAGCAACCAGGAGAAGAGAGGCCAGGCTACAGGGGAGATGCTCAGCCAGCCCAGAGTTCTAACAGGAGCCTGGGCAGCCGTGAAGCTGTCTAATTGGTAGCCGCAATTAACTCCACATTCCAGGCAGTACTCTTCGTGCAAGCAACGAGTTAGCTTTGTACTGCTTGCATCCACTTCGGCTTCGCTTGGCTCTTGTACCTAGACCTTCGAACCTCCTGGCTTTGGGCTCTGTGTTTCTGGCTCCTGACGGACCCCCTGGCTTTGGACTTGGCTCTGTGTTTCTGGTTCCTGACCCCGGCTTGGCTTTGGACTCTGCACTGTCTTCTTGGCTCCTGACCTTGGCCTGTTCTGGACTCCCTTTGACTGGCACCCCGGCCCGTGACACCTTGTGCCAGAAGACCATCATAGAATCTTGTGCCCCCTGTCCCCCTCCGTGAGCACAGACCCACACTGCTGGCTCTCGTCCTGGCCCTAAACTACAGTGGGGCTATTGGGGGCTCTGCCTCCTTCCTTAAAAGCCGGCCCCCTTCCTTAAAGCCCCCCCCCACTTCTTCCCAAAAGCATTTAAAGGAATCCTTTAAATGATTTTGAAAAGAACCAGGGGTGGCATGCGCCCCCCTCCCTTACTCCCTCGAGCAAGATTTAAACAGCCCTCCAGCTGATCGGCAGGGCATGAGCTCCCCGCTGATCAGCTGGAGGGCCCTTTAAATCTTGCAGGAGGGGAGGGAGAGGGGCGTGTGCCACCCCCTTCATTATGGCAAACAATGGCAGCCCCACCAGAAAAAAAATTGCCCCATGAGCCATGAAATCCTAGCTACAGGCCTGCTCTCATCTCCCTCGAGCAGCTGATGCAGAACAAAAGTGGTGGGTTACCCGTGTTTCCGATGGTATGCGTATCCAGGTTACATTCATGTAACTGTGCAGAAGGTTGAGTTTTGCCTCCAGAGAGAGAATCAAACTGAGAAAGGGGTGGGGAGGGGAAGAGAGAAAGAGAGAGAAAAGGGAAAGGAAAGACCACACACCACATTAATTACCGAAACAGTACAGCCACAGGACGCTAGCGCATAATCAAGAGAAACAGCCACACAGCGTTTCAAGCAAGGGCACTCTCAGGCTGCAGGTGCCAATGCGGCCGTCCGTCTGAGAGGAAACAGCTCAGCAAAAAATTGGGGGGGGGGGACTTTTTCTTGGAACACCCAGCAGCTCCCCCCGGGAAGCCAGCTCTGCACGAAAGCCTTCTAGCGCCAGACCCAAACTCGCGCTTGTTAGTCACGAGGGCTTCAACGCAAGGCCGAAGCGCTCAGTTCACAGGAGTGTGGAATCGTCACGTGACCCATCGGCACTGCAAGAACCGCAGGGGGCTCAAACAACTCCACATGGCTTTTTGTTCTAGGGCTGCTACTAAGCATGCCGGCTCAGTAACGGTCCAGCTACCACGTCCCAGATACCCTGATGTCTTCAAGCTAAGCTGATGCTGGAATCTTAGCGGTTCTTTAAAAACAAGCAAACAAAGAAACAGGTCTTACTTGGCCAGCTTGGTGTTATCGTTGTCATCCTTCCCCCACTCCCAGTCTTTCCCTGGGTCAACCGCAAAGTGCAAAGGCAGTAACTTGTGTTCAGAGTCAGTCAGAGGGATCACCGCTGAAGGAAAGAAGAGAAGACCGGAAAGGAAGAAATCAGTTGAGCTGGAACAGGTAGAGGAGGAAAGAAGGACCCCCACCAGGAGGAGGGAGAGAGGGAGGGAGCATTTTAAAGGCACTGCAAGGTCAAAGGGGCTCTGTCTGGTATTCAACCTTTCGTAAGAACATAAGAGACACCAATGCTGGATCAGGCCAGTGGCCCATCCAGTCCAACACTCTGTCACACAGTGGCCAAAAATTACTAGGTGCCATCAGGCGGTCCAGCAGTGGGGCCAGAAGGACACTAGGAGCCCTCCCACTGTTGCCCCCCTCCAAGCACCAAGAATACAGTGCATCACCTGCTCCAGACTGAGAGTTCCTATCTATACCTTGTGGCTAATAGCCACTGATGGACCTCTGCCCCATATATTTATCCAATTCCCACTTGAAGCCGTCCGTGCTTGTAGCCGCCGCCACCTCCTGTGGCCGTGAATTCCATGTGTAAATCACTCTTTGGGTGAAGAGGGACTTCCTTTTATCCGTTCCAACCCGACCGCTCAGCAATTTCATGGAGTGCCCACGAGTTCTTGTATGGTGAGAAAGAGAGAAAAGGGACTTCTTTCTCGACCTCCTCTATCCCATGCATACTCTTACAGACCTTGATCGTGTCGCCCCTCAGCCGTCGTTTCTCCAAGCTAAAGAGCCCCCAAGCGCCTTAACCTTTTTTCATAGGGAAAGTGTTCCAACCCTTTTATCATTCTAGTTGCCCTTTTCTTCCCTTTTGTCGACAGACTTCCTCTGCAAACTGCAACGGGCTCTGATATCACACAGAGATTTACAATGAAGAAAAGTAGCCACCAGCGGTGAATGCACAAAGCTGCCTTCTACCGAGCCTTGGGCTAGCATGGTCAGTCTCGTCTCCTCTGATCAGCACAGGCCCTCCAAGATCTCAGGTGGAGGTCTTTTGTATCACCTGTGAACAGTGTTCCCTCTAAGCTGAGTTAGTGTGAGCTAGCTCACAGTTTTTTAGCCTCCGGCTCACACATTTTTGTCTCAGCTCAGGAAGGATGGATGGCTTCAAGAGGGAACTGGATCAACATATGGAGCAGAGATCCATCAGTGGCTATTAGCCACAAGGTATAGATAGGAACTCTCAGTCTGGGGCAAGTGATGCTCTGTATTCTTGGTGCTTGGAGGGGGCAACAGTGGGAGGGCTCCTAGTGTCCTGGCCCCACTGCTAGACCTCCTGATGGCCCCTGGTATTTTTGGGGCACTGTGTGACAAGAGTGTTGGACTAGATGGGCCACTGGCCTGATCCAACATTGGCTTCTCTTAGGTTCTTATGTTAAGGATGGCGCCAGGGCAAACTAATTTATGCAGTAGCCAAATCACTCGCTCACAACTTTAATGCCAGTCGCTCACAAAGTAGAATTTTTGCTCACAAGACTCCACCGCTTAGAGGGAGCATTGCCTGTGACTCGATCCTTTCAACTGGAGAGTGAACCTGGGACCTTCTGTATGCAAAGCAAAACCCGTGCCGCTCAACCACGTCCCCTCTCCACAAATTATTGTGCCAAGTATCGTGTTCAGTTTTGGGCATCACCATTTAAGAAAGATCTAGACAAGCTGGAATGTGTCCAGAGGGGAGGGCAACAAAGATGGTGAGAGGTCTGGAGACCAAGTCCTATGGGAAAAGGTTGAAAGAGCCGAGTATATTTAACTTGGAGATGACTGAGAGGGGATATGATGACCATCCTCAAGTACTTGAAGGGCCGCCATAGAGAGGATGGTGCTGAGTCGTTTTCTGTTGCCCGAGAAGGTCAGACCAGAACCAACCGGTTGAAATTAAACTGAAAGAGTTTTTGGCTAAACATTAGAAAGGACTTCCTGACGGTTAGAGCTGTTCCTCAGTGGAATA